TATTAGCAATATTTATAACAGCATAAGTAATCGTTCGGTATTTCCGTTCGTGAAATAATAGCTTAATGCTTTTCCCTACATTCATTTTTCGTTTGAGTCCGCGATGTCACGTTTTATACAGTTTGTACACATCGATCTAGTCGTTTATCTTCACCAGTTTTCATCTGAACCCAGTTAGGGTAATATGGAAATCGACGGGCCTAGATATGTACGACCCATATATCTGTATATAAAATATCAATTGACGGTCCTAGACATGCACGACCCATTCATGGACTTATGAATTGGTCATAGTTATTATAATGGTGGACTTTATTTGTAACCTAACAAAGACGGTAAACGATCATTACAATAGGTTGAAACCTAGAAAACACATATAATTGATAGTGAAAATTGTAAAGTCTACAATGTAACTTAGGACACATTATACATGCCCCCCACCCCTCCTCTTTGGGTCGGCCCAAAAAGTTGTGCCGAAATTCAGGAGAAATTCCCATTTGAACTTTGTCAATTTATTACCTGCATCCCAATGGTACAAAAAGTGAGCCAACTACACATTTGAAGTCCAAAAACAGCTTAGTTTCAGAAATACCCCAAATTACCTATAATCTACGCGAGGAAATAATTTCAAATGTAAAAGGCTCGGCGTTCATATGCAGTATCAAAAACAGAAGAAAAAGTAGCTTACCATGGTGGTTTGTTTCGTCACGTGACCTCAATGGCGTCCTTGAGGTACACAACTTCAAAGCTGTTATGATGATTTTCTCCCAGCCACGTGGTTCACTGTCCAGCAGTATATCTTCTAATTGTTTCTAATTGTCTAATTGCTTCCGGAGTAACTTTTTATTTGTCTCACGTCAGCAATTTCTTGATTTTTATCAGCAAGTTTTTGCTTCGTTTTCGAATTGTCTTATGCGATATTTACTAATCTTTATGCAGTATATTTCCAGCAATTTCTAAGTGTTTGTTTATTTCCAAAGCGTAACTTTCATTTGGCACGCCGTGTAGTATTAATAGTTAAACGATTATATAATTGAGGGATTGCGTTTCATATTCCGCATGCTGTATCCGTGTCTCCTAATTTCTTTCATACAAACCAGAAATGCTAAATGAATTATTTTTTACTCAATTAAGCATCCAGCCATTTCTTCGTTGTCATATAATATTCCTATCTTTATCGTTTAACCAGCCCAGAAAATAGTTTTGAGTAGAGATTCCCGTTTTTCTAACTACTAGTCTGCAAGCTGATATTCAGGTGATATGCTTGCAATGTCGGTTCGCTGAAATCCACTGCTTGAGCGGAAGCGTTCTTGTGATCAAGAAGGATTTCCCTCAAATCATACCAAGCTGCATAGTTCAGAATAGACCGACTTATATTTCGTGTATGCTTGTATCCACTCTTGTGTATGCATGTGTGGAATTCCTTGCCACCAAGTTTGCAAGTACAACGCCACCTAACTGGGAATACAACCTTGTCTACTGGGCCCAACGCACCAGGTGTAAGCCTACACAGGCCTCGTATTTCTAGTTACTAGATTCACTTCGGCTATTACTTATAATATACTTGTTTAACTCACATTTGCATAAGAAATAGCTTTAGCTCACTGGTGAAAACGACGCATACTTGTCGATATACCCAATGATTCGCATAAGTTCAAATACAGAACCAGGCCTTGGACCCGGGGATTCAAGGAACTTTGTGTTCCTCTCATCTTTGTCGCAGATATGTCAGTGTGATGCTCGTTAATTACCGGGAAGGGAGCTAGACTTTAGCCAATCCCTCGTCGTAATTTCATGCTTCGCTAGAAGGAATTCTAGATGTCCTCTCTGATAAGGAACATTAGTCTAGAGTAATGAAGATTTGCAATAATGTCGCGTTACATATATATTTCTGTAAAGCTAATAATGTATCAAGCTTCATAGCCTTGTTCTATTGTGAGACTTGAGCCCTGGATTTGTCAGAACAAACTCATCGCAAAACGATTAAATAGTAACTATAACTATAATGTTATTTAACATATTCTGCAGTCGCATTAAGAGGTTGGAACTTCTGAAATCGTGTAATTCAAGATGCAAGTGAACAGGTGGATAAATATGTGGCGAAAGTGGGCAAGAATCTCATAGCATCAAGTTCCATCCTTGGTCCAAGGATATTTCAATTTATTCCCATGAGTTGGAACTGTGATGCCCGATCTTGAGGGATGTCAAGTTCGTGTATTGATATTTTCTTTCAACAATAGGAAAACAATTTAGAAAGCCATATTTATCCAATCAAACGAAGTTCGTGGGGATATAGAGAACGACTCCGTCCACCCATCGGTCTGTCCGTCTGTCTGTATGTTCGTCTGCAATAACTCGAATACCGCAGGCCAAATATCCTTTATATTTTGTACGTATATATAAATGCCCTATGGCCTATGCTGCTCAACAACCGGTTTAGATATGGCGGCCTTTTACTGTATTTTAGGTACAACATACAAAACTCTAATATCAATGTTTTAAATTCATAAATAATTATATATTTTATATAAGATATTGATTCAGTTGAAAATCTAATTATTAAAAAAACATGATGGCCATTTTGAAAAAATGGTTTTGCTGTCATATATTTGCTGCGAACACAACGCAATAGGTATGCTGTTTGATGTAATACCATAGCAACCTACAGTAAACTACAAAAGATTAAGTCACTAATGGTCAATGTAACATTCAACACTTTCTATTTTGTACTATATCCTAGCACTATAAATAACATTTATGAATTGTACTAATGTAAATAAATTAAAAATACACAGTAACGTTTATCAACAGAAATTCAAAATTCGCCGTGTGTCTGCCGTAGGAAATGTGACTGTAAAAGTATCCGACCGCTGAAATTCTACGGAGAGCGTAGAAATGTTACTGACCGCAGAAATGATAGACCGCACGGTCGCCATAGGAAAAATGACTGGGGTGTTAGAATCATATTGCTCTGTCAAACGAAAATTTGACTGATAGGCCACCATTACCAAAAATGGCAGCGTTCGATGGGATTTGCTGCGCCATGCTTTTGTTGTTTTCTAGTTTTAAATCTAGATTTAGAAAATCATCACCCATCTGTTAGGTTGATTTTTAAATTACTTATACAATAACAATTACGACATCAAAATAGCCAAGCATTTCCCGATTGCATATACGTACCTACGTCTAAACCTCAGTTTACTGCTAACGAGTAATTTGCATGTGTTACATACGGCACTTCTAATTTTAAGATAGCTGAAAACGTTGATAAATTGCACTTTGGTCTGTTACTCCTTTTGCGGAATGAGTAGAATTGAAGTCATAATTTCTCGATCTTTATTAGGCGTGCTTGCATAATTGTAATTCCCTCGGTGGATTAAATCAAATAAATCTAGCTAATTCAATTAGCGTAACGATTACTTGTCACACTTGAAATGGATATCACCCATTCCATAAGTTAAAATAAGGAACCTGGGATATGTGTATTGTACCAACTGGACAAGACTTCTCTCCAATTCAGATGCGTTATTTTTCTCGCCACGACGAAATCTCGCAAAATCTCTTCGGATACGAAACTTCATTTTTTCGACTTTGAGAAGAATAAATTGGGCCTTTAACTTGAACAGAATTGTGTCTGAATGTACTATGGTAATCTTGGGAATGTGTGTACTAATTTCTATGCTTTTTATTCTTGCAGATCTGCCTGAGAGGAAAACTATAAATACGAGGCGTACACACTATCGTAAATAATGGTAAGTTTTAGATTTTAGTTTCCGTTTTATGATTTTTATGAATGTGAGTGTAATTTTTCCTTTAGATGTCACCAAGAGAATTCTGCTTTTTACGACAAAAATGTAAAAAATGTGTTTCTTGAGAAAGTTAGTATCCTTTTATGAAATTTGGTCTCATTCAGTTACACGTAAATGTCATTTTATTGTAACACTAGACATTGCATTATAATTCTCCATGTAAAATTCTGATCGTACACAAAGTTCTTTAGTAGGCTTATGTGGGTTCTTTTAATAGGAATTAAATCGAATGAGAACATATGATACTAAGCTACTATTTATAAATCCAAACCATACATTGGTTTAACTCATAATAGATAATTAAGTAGTGAAGGATTTATAAGATGAATCAGATTACAAATTTTTATGGAGGATGCTCTTCTTCAAAATGAACCGTCATGAGTAATATAGATGTCAGCTTTGATGATGTTGGGGATAAAAGTGTATCAGATAAGAGGGGGAATCTAAGTCCATATTTACATGAAGATAAGTCCATTTGTGAATTCCGGGGTGTTTCCTTTATCGGAAAAGCAATAACACAAAATGAAAACGAATTCTAGATACATTGATGTAAAACATTGATTACGCACTCGACGAGCTCTTATTACGCAATGCTTTCGATTCCTCTCCGGCATTAACTGCGTACCATCGGAAGGTCTCATACGATCGAGACTAGCACCTAGGCAGTATATTTTGAACTATTTCTTTATGATAGCTGAGACCATGCATATTTCAACATAAGCGTTTCTTGAAACGGTTGAACTATGCCTCAAAAACGTTATACTTCACAAAAATCCCCAACTTTTATCAACACTGTCTTTTCACAGAGGACTGTTTGTTTAATAATCAACTTAAATGTGACATCCCTTTGAATGTTGGATAAAAATCCTATAGGATACCTGACCACTGTGTATACCATTACCAGTTCGATAGATATTCTGATAGAAATGTAACAGTGCTTGATTCATAAATGGATACCATTACTTTTTATGAAGCATACACAGTATGCAATATACTATTGATAGTGATTATTAGTCGCTTCAGCAGATACGATCCTCGGATACGATATCCTCCTAATAAACACTTGAACCATATTTATCAGCACTTGAACGTCATAATAAACTAATGAACTTATCGGATTTGGAAAAACTTAAATGTCGCCACATGTTCACATCATATTGCTACATTATGCCTAAATACGTGTGCATGTATTATACACGAAAACGTCCTACAAACTTAAATAAAAACCACAGCCGTAAAATCACGAGCCCTATCATAGGAGCTCATCTTCCTTTATACGATCTTAACAGCGTTATAGCATGCTATTAAATTGGATTTTATTACATTGCTTAAAAAAGTCGTATTTTGTCAAATCTCAATGTGAACGACTTCGTATTTTATACTAGGACTTATTTGCACCTCTGTTCCTTTGTGTGACCAGCTAGCAAAAAGAAGGACGATTTTTCATACGAGTTGGATTTTGGAATATATTAAGAAAATGAAGATTACATACTATTATCCCGTAGGTATACTTTTCTTGAGGTTAAATTGACGTTATTTTTATACCTTTAAACCTTGATGATATTTCAGGTGTATCGGATTATTTGTAAATGATGTTGATGAGGATAAATATCGAGATGTCAGGAGTTAAAGTGGCAGATATTGACAATATTAGCAAGGAATTTGTGTAATACTTATGAAATATGCATGGGATTAAAAATATACTGACGGATTGTTTGGTCGATGATCTTTTTGTCCAATGTCTGTTTGTTATTTATATCATGACCAAAGTAAAAAGCAAGATCAATGGAATCATTAATGAATCAGTATAATTCAATGATTAAAGTATCTAGGTCATATAGCATCATGTTTACCAAAAATATTGCATATATTACAATTTTCTCTAATACGTTCCTAAAGATGACGTCATTGTCGTGTTGTTTATTACGACAATTAGACCATAAAATATTTCAACGAACATGCATTTAAATCAGGTATCAATTATGATGGTATTAAAAGCTCAAACATAGTATCAAGCATCATACTTGTTTAATGTGATGAATTTTTGTGTTTGTATTTTTGCCAAAAATGATGAATAATTTTCATTCCATGATCAAACCCTGGACATGCTATCCAAACACATGCATAATTCTTGGCAACAGTTTGATTGTTTCATACCAACATGTACGCATCTATCACGCCTGGACCATGATCATAACAAAAAGTTGGTGACGTTTCGAGATAAAGCTTGAAAGGCAGAATTCGCCGTGAGCACCTGCTGTAAAGGAGAACACTGTCCACCGGAACATATTGTCTTACTTTTGCATTCATACAAACCTGGCCCGGTGTGGAAGAAATTATGGTCCCCCGGGGATTATGTTCCCCCTTCTTAACGGCCCTTACTGGCCATGATTGTGTATGCGATAATTAGGGAAAGAGGTCACCATCAAAATCAATGGAGAGTAGGATAATTTGATAGGACCTCCCGTCCTTTTACATTTGCCCTCCAATCGTGTATGATTCACTGGTAAAAATATAAGTCACCAGAACAATGATTGTTAAGTGAATACTAATTTCTCAAGCCAATTAAATGTTTTCGAAATTGTGTGATCACCACCTTTACAAGCAGTTATTCAAATCCATACAAAAGAATAGAAACGATCTTAAAGAAACTGTTCCAAATTCTTATTATATATTTTTTCCATGTCATTTTCCAAAAGTGATCTACATCTGACTTATAATTCTTTTTTTTTAATTAAGAATATTTTGCAAAAAATTGGAGAGCTCCTCTTCAATTATTCTAATTTGAATTCAGATAACATAACTAATTGTGAGTCTCGATATATTGGTTTATTTTTTCTCCAATAGTTTACACCCTCTACCCTTTGTTGTCACTTATCTTCAAAATTCTTGGCTGGTATTCACCATTGTGATACACAATTCCAATGATTTATTTAATAATATCTGATCTTTGTCGAATGCTTTTCAGGCTGGAGATGAGGAAACGTTCGAGATGACAGAGGAGCAAATTACAGGTAAAACATATCAACATATGAGTACTATCCTAACTTTGAAAATTACCTTTAAATATTGGTTATCTAGTCATAATTCATATCATTATATCAGTACTGTGGGAACAGAAAATTGTCTCACCAATAAAATCTTTATACAACTACTAAGATAATATTTGTATTCACGAGAGGGTCAATTTTCAAGTTCATTGTCCATCTCGCTTAGTGCCGTAAAAAGTGACACCAGGATCAATTTAACTGATTTTACAAAATGTGTCTCAATAAAAAATTAAATGAAAAATCACGAATGCTCATGATGCAACGATTCTGATTATATCAACCAAAATAAAGCATGATAACTCTTGATACGTAAAAATGTAACTGTTAATGGATTAATATATTTTCTCTGTGATAAAAATGAATTGAAAAACAATATTTCTAGTTGTGAGAGATGTTTTCGATAATTACGTGGGAGAAGACGTGTATCTTTCCGTCAAGAAACTTGGTGACATCATGAAAGACTTAGGCTACAATCTCAAGAAACAGCAAATCCGGTCCCTCATGGAGACGTGTGACGCAGATGGTAAGTAGCGTAAGTTGCGTGGTGCACTTTCCGTACCTAGCGGTGTGGGACACGTTCGTACGTTTGACGTTTCTACCTAATCTGGGAGACGTTCGTATGTAACGCAGAATACGTTGTAACATAACTTTATGCAAGGCGTTGGTCTAATCACGACGTTATATTATGTCATATGCCATATTAATTAACACCTCTGCATTTCTATCTGGCATTTTATATTTTATCACTAAATGAACATTTAAATCCATCAGCACTGATTAAAATGGTAATTTTTAAAAATATGTATGTGCTACATCCACTTGCAATTACATAATTGTGTTCACATGATTAAAGAGAACTTTGATTTTTGCACAACATTGTTATCTATATGCACTTTGCTTAACTTAATTATTGATAATTATTTGCACACCTTCTTTATTTATAGGAAGAGGTAATTTCATCAGCGAAACTGCTTGTTTCATCAATAGAAACTGCTTGTTTCATCAGCAGAAATTGCTCGTTTCATCAGCATACTAACCTCATAGAATAGATAATTAATGTATCCATATACTTATCATCTCATAGTTTTTCTCATCATCATGAAATGGTTACTAAGAGTAGCATCTAGTTTTGGTTATGAATTATAATTAGTGACGGTATAAAAGTTGAAGGTTAATGGCCGTCGTACATGGTTCTATCCCTCCGATTAGGAATCATGGGACATACCTCCCTTGCTTACCGTCTTCTTGGGCTAGCGCTTATTGATAATTTAAGCAACTCCATACGATAATTGGGAATTAGGTAGTCAATTATAACTTCTTCAGAATGTATAGTAAAATCTCAGGAAAACATAAAAAATTGACTGAAGATGCCCAATTATCAAATTATCATCTTTGAATTATCAAATGGTTATAATTCTTGCTTATTTAGGACGTTTGCTTCAATGTAGTTTAATTGGCCCTGAACACCATATGCCCTATATGTACAGCTAGAATGAGATCACAAACTAACACACGCGCGCGACCTTTTTGCGACGTGTCTTAGAATATGTGCATCTTTGCTAGAACAATATTTGATATTAAATTTCATGCAAAATATTTTATCTTCGAATTCCAATTCAAACTGCAGAATACATGCTAGAATCAAGAACATATTTAGATGAAGTGTTGCTTAAACAAAAAGCTTTGTTGATCCCAACTCAAGAGATTAGATCATAATCCATCCTGACCATGGCCGTTACATGTAACGGCAGTAGGACTGATCATCAATGGTCCATTATATAATATACTTTAGGCAAATTGCAATGTGGCAATATTTGAATGTAGAAATGTTAAAAGGACTACCACGTACCGTTGAGTAAAACGTTATCTTACGTCAAGTCTCCGGTCCTTTTTCTTTGACAAATGAAAAATTGCCAGAGTATGTGTATTGCAAGCTACGTCATGAGAGAACAACTCCTATCACATCAGATAATTCCATCTGAAGTAGAAGTAAAACAATTGATGGGAAGGGGGAAATTCAAATAAGTCAATGCTTAGAAACATTCTGCTTTGAGTTAACCATCGAAATGAAGACAAAAAACTAACGATTCTGTGTCATAAGACACATTTTACATGGCTTTTATTGTGTGTGGTGTTTTATAGAGGGCGACCAATTATATGTGCCATCTTCTACGCTTTTGCTACTTTGCTAGTAAAGTATTCATTGTCGATGTGCTAGACTGTCCATTACGCTTGTTTACTTGTCATTAAACAACCGAATAGTGCTAGGTGTATCACAAACACTTCACCGCTATACTCTAAAAACTTACAATCGTATAACAATTTGCTTAACTCGTGACGATTTTTTAAAAGTTACATATCAAAATACAAACTAAATGCGACCTCTATCTTAAAATAAATGAAAATTTACTTATTATGTGATTATATGATATGAATAAAAGAGCCTGTGTATTTCCGTCATCAATCATGTAATTTACAAAGTCATTCCATTGGTGTTGATATTGGCTTTGGCACCCCCTTTACGTGATATTATAACATTTATAACTCCATTATAGGCAGTGGAACGCTGGACTTTGACGAGTTCTTGCCCTTAGTAGCGCACGAGATGAAGAAGAAAGAAGACGAGAAATTCTACTTTAATCTGTTTAGGATCCTCGACAAAAAGAAGAGGGGATGGATCGGTGTTAATGACATGAGGTAGGAACGAGCTTCTTAATACATTGGACATTTTCCCCCTCCTATATTGTTGATCTATTAAGTTATTAATTAAGTTATTAATCATTATCCATTTATATCAAATGGCTTCAGATTCATATTTTTCTTGGCAAAGTCAAACTCCACGTGAAAGAAGAAATGCTCTGAGACTCAGAAGCTAGAAGTAATTCCTAAGCTAGATGTAGCTTTCCGAACAACTCAAAGCAAGTCTCCTAAAAAGGAAAGATCCTCTGACGATATTTCGCATTTTGTTGTGTAGGTACATCCTAGAAGGAATGTCAAAGGAGCTCGAACTTACCACTGAGGAGATAGATGACATGATAACTGATATCGACGAGGATGGTAACGGACAAGTCAGCTTCCAAGGTATGAATAATGTAAAACAATCATTTAAAGATGGCAGCTGCATCACCATTTTCAAACCTCATCAATCTCATTGTATTTCTAATTGTCAAGTTTTTTTTATTGTTCAACATTGTTTCAATTGACAATAACTTGCATGTTGTCTTGTCAACAATTCCCATTTATATGCAACCTATTGATTTAAAGAAATAAATGTGAAGTTTGTATCAAAAAGTCGAAACTCGATCAACAATCAAAACGTACATTTAAATATGGCCTAAACACAGAACGATTGCCATGCCATCTTTACTTAAAAAGATATTTCTAACGATCTTAGCCTATGGTTTATATTTTAGCTTACATACACTGGCATCATTATCCAATATCGCGTTTGAATGGATTAAAGTTCAGAATCGATGTTACTTGCATTGAAAAACATCAATTGTATTTTTGCAAAGAAAATAGTCTTGTCTTATTTAACTTTTCAGAATTCCTTACCCTGATGACGTCAGAGTAAGATAGCAGACGACATTTGATGCAAATTCCATTCGGGCACATGCTGATATTAAAAGATAGGACTGTTTTATTGTAAGCATGTACACAGCTGCATGACAGTGGATTTTGGACTAAGTTTAGATGTTTAGATTTCTCTGGAAAATACTCGGAATGCGTATACTATAGTGAACACATTCAAAACGTAGGCTTAACTGCAAAAATCAACTGAATGAACTTCAGGAACTATATGGTGGTCCTGAATTCACGGCTTGTGCATCTGTTTACTAGAATGGACATGAACGAAGTCCAGTGCATGGACTCAATAACTGCCTCGTTTTCTGTTTATTTGCATCCTCCACTCGCGCTCATTTGGACTGTTTTCCGTGACAGGCTATCACAAGTCTGTTTCTACTTTATCATTCCACGCATTTTCAAAATGCGGGTAATAGCCGGCCCAACCCAAAATATGTTCGTCATAAGGAGTTGTTTGAAAATTACCATTTTGCATGATTCAGTTATATACTACATGTTTGTTATAATAGAAACATATGCAGTTAATCACAACCCCACAAGTGATTAATTTCATGACGTCAATGGGAGTCACATCATGACCCCCTCCCTCCTATTATAACAGACTTGTAACATTCATTTATGTGCATTGTGTTCATTTGTTGTTATTGTCGATAAGAAGTCTTGCATGGAGTCTTTCCCCCTCTATATACATGTACATTACCTATCCAACCTGCCTTGAATGCAATCATGCATATGTGATGTGAGGAAGGGGTTGATACAAGACTATCAATTTGGCAATGGGCAGTTTGTATATATTTTTGTATTATATAGTTTATAACAACAGCTATTGTAGTAGAGTAGATCTGGCGGCACAGGGACTCAATTTTAAGGGACCCAAGATAGGGCATAAACATTGTTAAATACCTTTAAAGGACCAAATACACAACATATCAGTTTGTTAAGTATAATGTTTATAATCTTTTAGAATACATAACAATTTTTGTACAATTTAAGACCTGAGCTGCGTTTGTTGTATTTGTTGTATTTCAAGACTAGTGTTTCATGTGATAAGTACACGTACTTTGCATGCTCTTGAATTAATACTCATAGCATTTGATTGTTAGATTGCGCTTGATTTCATTGAATTGATTCCTTTTAAATTGACAGACTTTTTATTTGATTCAAAGCTTCCTTTATGAAGGTAAATCAGAAATTACAAAATCCATGTCAATATGTATAGTTGTACATTTAAGGACTTTTAGTGTCCAGTTTATTTAGGAATCTGAGTTGGAGATCCTGAGTCAATTTACATTACATGATCGATTAATATCTTTAATGGAATTCTGTATTTAATCGTGATCGCCCCCCCCCCCCTTCGAGGAACATGGATAACTATATATGTAGCTGTAATATACAGATTTTAATTTTGGAGAGAGGATTGTTATATTTTGGTAGTTGTATAACACCAGGACGACCCCGTGAAATAATAAATGTAGACGAATAAAGCCATTAAAATGTATCATACGCAAAAACATTGTATGTGTTTCATGTACATAGAATCTGCACAACGCTTACCGAAGTCTAAAATAACCACATCGCCAAATGGGGAGAATTCCTAAGTGCAACACGAAATTAAGCATTTGAGACAATAGTAAAATTTATAAACTGGTTAAAGACTAGTTCAATACTCCAGTTCAATATAGTGTAGATGCAACGACTTGGTAAAGATTCACGTTAAGTGTCTGTTTCCACTGCTAAACCACCTGGTTCTGCTGCAAACGATCTGGATTCGGCTGCTATTTTGGTCCATCTGATGCATTCTGGGATACTCATCAACTTCAGCCCTGACGTCACTTTATTCTGGCATAGTGTAACTATCACAGCGGCGAAAGGAGCTCATTTCATTAGGTCGTTTCATACTTAGGAAAAATATATCAAAATGGTAAGTCTAACCCTATTTTATATCTAATTGCTCTCTAATTCATTGTTTTTCCAACTTTGAAAAAGTTTTTATAATCGTTTGCGTGGGACTTCTTACAGGCTAACCCGGTTTTACTTGATATTCTATATTCTGAAGAGGGAGGGGTGATCGAAGTATTTTCATAATATTATATGAATATGCTTTTCATTCCGACTTCTTATTTGCTTTACATTCTAAAAAAATACCATCGAGAAACAGGGTATGGTAAGGTACATGTATAAAATTAAAAATGACGGTAGTATCTCATATAGACTGACCATAGTAAATCATGTTCTTCAGGTATTTCGCCGATAGTATTTATTTAATGATAAAATAAGTGAATGCAAACAAATTATGCCGTATATCTGACATGTGCGTTGCTATGATGTTCAATTTGATTCAATGACATCGGTTGAGGTGTAAGCTGATAACCCCCTCCCATTCATAAAATCATAAAGATATAACATTTCTCTGTAATATGAATCAAATTATACACAAAAATGATTAACTTGATTTCAAATGCAATTTGAAAAGTGATTGCGTACATTTTATGAAGTTGCCTTTGTGGCACTAGTACCCTGCGCGCAGAGTCTAGTTAAACTACAAGAAGACGAAGCTCTCTTTTAAGAAGTGAAGTCAAACGAATGCAAAGGGTATGGCACTAGGGGTGGGGATGGTAAAAGTAAACGCAACTAACTCGCATTTATATTTTTCCAGAGTGCTGAAGTACCAGTCAAGCTCACTGAGGACCAAATAGCAAGTAAGTAATTCTAAGGAGCTAAATTATTTGCTCTCGCCCTTCAGTTAGTATTCCATTCAAAAGGCACCTTTCAAAAATGTAGTTTTGCAGGTATTTTATACAGTAACCGGTAACTTGGAAAATCTGATTCACTGACTTTGAAAGCTTGTCTCCCAGTATACTAATAATGTACCATTCCAATATTCTATGAACTGAGACTCCATTTTGTTTTCGGGGGGCTGAATAAAAACCAGGTATTTCCTCTCCAGTTTCACCCAATCTCCGAACTCTGGCATCTGGTGTTTCCTTATAGGGAATGCTATAAATATCCTACCGCAATCCATGACTCGCTGTTTATGTTTGCTTCTTGTTAGTACAAACTGATAGCAATTGAATTATACATGCGCATTGCGCAGATATAGATAAGTAACTGGAATTCCTGAGGAACACAACCTTGTTTGAATTTTCTCTGGCCATGCTAATTTCTCTTTATTCCCGCTAGAATTTAGTTTTCGTTTTTTGATTTTGGCATTTTCATACATAGTCTTAACAATATTTCTGTTTACTTTGGTTTTCATTTGATTACATTTCTTTAATGGATTCTATAAAGCTTTTAAAAGGGTCTACCTTGACTTTATTCCAGTACACGTTAATACACTGTCCTCGCTTGTATTTATTACTGCAGAATCTCGAAAAATGTTAATTTATCTGGCAACGCAGGAGGTGCCTCAATCCCAAAATACTACCCTCCTTATTGTTAGTTTACTTGAACACAATTATAAATCCCAGAATACTCCAGCCCTTTCCTCTTCTGATTAATTAATCATATTAATCCAATCATACGACACCCGTTTCCTCTATTTCATTCAACTTCTTCATCTTTATTTATCAGCTTCTACGTATCCAATTAAGATAATACAATTTTAGAGAAATATAAATATAACAATTAGAAGATCTAGCTGACGACAAATTAAGTTCTGAAGCACCCCAACATCCCTTTTGATCTATTGTACATCGTTTGGTTTCAGGCCTGTTTATGATTAATGTTTATAATTATGATTCAAATTGATTAAATTCATAGACTCCAACTTTATATTTAGTTCACTATGCCACACCCCTGGCGGCTATTTAAAAAGCTAGCAATAAATAATAAAATACTTGTATAATGCAACATCTATTTAAACATTAAAGACAATTTGCAAGCAAATAAACATTAAAGAGGCTTTAACACGCTATACAAACGAGGATAACTGGTGGCAAGAACGTATGGGTTAGGGGGGATAGGGGGAGGGGGTAAGCCTTTGAACTAATAGCAGATTGACCAGCTAATATATCCATGTAATGCAATAGCGGTATAGATAGCAGTAAATTCATTCAAGGTGCTAAGCTATTTATGTATTACCTAATTTATTTGACTGATTTATCTCAGTGTTTCTTGTATCTTGCGTACCCGTTTATTGAACAAACAAATTATTCTACATGCGTGTCTGTTTGTGTCCGTGATTTGGGAAACTTTTCAAAAATATTCATAGAAGCTCATGAACATCAAACAACTTATTCAATTTCAAAATACTCTTATAATCTTACATATTATCATATACGTGTATGTTTTTCAATTATAACGTACGGCATTAATTGTTCTCAATATATCAGTTTTCATTTTATTTCCCGACTAAGACTTATTAATCATTATGGCTTGAAATTCAAGTCAAAGAATTCCACTAATTTCGGCCCATTTAACCACCCCTCCCCCTCTCCCATACCTCTCATGCATTTAGTTGGAAATTGCAATAACGTTATTAGAATCACGAAGTAAATGAACATTTCAAATTGCATTGCTACTGTTTTGAGTAAAACACGAATTCAAGCAATTTTCATTACATGCATGAGTAACACTAAAATAATGTAATGGCTGAGGGAACAAGGACTTTGTTTCTTAGCGTATGTAGAAACGTGTTTATTGCTTTCAAACGTGTATAGGAGATTGCATATTGTGTCAAATAGTCATATAGGGGAGTGTATGTTATATCTTAGCGAATAGAGGAATGTGAATTGTTAACAAATGTATAGAGGGAAGTGTACATTGTTTCCAAATACATATTTATATAGGAGTATGTGCGTTTCATCAACCATAAGCATACAGGTTTTCAACTGATTGTATTAAGCCCCAGTCGTCCATATACATGCGTGATTATTGTGTTAATTGTATGTGCCACTATTGAAGTGTGGACACCCTGTATCTCACCTTGTTATTCTGTTGAATGTATGTGTGAACGGAAACATGTGTAGTTTCCGAGCGACCCTTTACTCTTCTGTTAGTGAGTGCGAGTGAACCTTCTTCATTTCATAACGTTTTTTTACAGGGTAACACAAAACAATAATTCAACTTTTGAAGAAATCTTAAAATGTTTTGTGCTATCGTGTAGTTTTTTTTGTTTAACACCCAATTGTGGCAATTTCATTTTATTTATACCTCAAGACTCTTTTATAAATACAGGGTGGCCAAGATGACTTGTGCCATTCTGCTTTTCCTAAACCGTGAACCTCAATGATCGTGTCTGAACTGTTACTCGGCTTTTTCCATCCTTTCCTTGGCAATGTTGGCAAGAATCAGAACCCGAGATCTACTTCAAGCTAACAGGTAAACACATGTGGGGGCCTTCTGTGGGTGATAGATTAGGGGCACAGTTTTCGCTGCTAAAAGTAGTGCACGTCATTGTTCAAGCATGTTTCAATCTACAAACCATCTTTTCACTGCTTTAAACGTTTGTAAACGTCACTTTGAAAGTTTGCTTCGTCTGAAGAAAAATGTTCGAGATATATGCCAACCCAATGTACGTCCATCCCCTAACCTAATATTTCAATCTATTTTCAATGTAATTTACTAAACCCCCACTAATCCTGTTTAGGTCCCATAAATCTATTAATCCTGCGTCTGTCTGCTTTAACCATTTCTAACTGTTAACCTCACCCCGTCCATTCCTTGTTGTAGATTGAAACATGTCAGAGACATTTGTGCATGGCCAAGTATTTAAGTGACGTTGCAAGTAAATGCAAATCGAACGCCAGACCTGCTTAATCTACACAAAATTTGCTTAAATTAGGTCATCAAATAATGAGAAAGTAAAAAGACGCAGTCAGACACGTCTGGGTATTACCATCCTTCCTTTCTTCCCCCTCCTTTTTGTTTAGTCCCAAGCTAATGTCCTTTTATTGATTCGGAACAGCTAGCTTTTCATACTCTCTGATTTGTGGGAAAGCCTCATTGGATAACACAAATCACGTGATTTGATTTACATGTGACGTCATTGTACTAACAGAAGTGATTTGAATTTAGAAGCACTGCAGCGTGAGGATTTTTGTGTTTTGTGGGCAATGGTTGCTAAATGTTACTCATAGTGCCAGATATAATTTGCACTTCTTTGAAGTTGCGGTTGAGTTGTGTTTCGTTAGGCTGTAACATTAGTTTGTTAGGTGATAGTTGTTGTGCCTTGTAGTGAGGAGTTTTTGTCCGATGCTTGCTGTTTTTCGGCTTTTCCTCTTCGATGTTAACGTTTTGTAAACTACCTAAATCTAAAATGTAAACTTAATTCAATAGCTTTATAGTAACAGTCTCGTTTTACTGTAACCATTTTATCGAAGACCATTCTGACAATATTTCTTTCTTTTTAGAATGTCAAGAGGCGTTCGACAAATTCGACAGGCGCGCTCTAGACAAGATTAGAATCGGTGATATTGCCAATGCATTCAAGGCGATGAGCGTTAGTGTTAAACCAGAGTGGTTGGACAGAGTACGAGACAGTATCGATCAAGAAGGTGAGCCTGGAATGTCAATTAAATCCAACGTCGAACGTTTATTTATTTGTCCAAATACCGACGAGCTTTAAAAGCATTTTATTTTCTCACATTCTTTATGAGACAATTTATTGTTATTCTACACATATTCCACTAAAGAAATCAATCAATATATTAATTTAAATGAATATTATGTTACAGTATTATGTAACATTGCATACCCTTATTGTTTAAAGGTACCGGCTATGTGACCATGGAAGAATTCACCGAACTATATTTATTAAAACTGAAGGCTGAAGCTGATGAAAAAGAACTTGAGGAAGCTTTTCGTGTATTGGACAAAAACAACACCGGAGTCATCCCCGTGGATGATCTCAGATTTATCCTTAAAGGTCTTGGTGATGACTTAACGGACGAGGAAATTGAAGAAATGATTAATGATACAGATCAGGACGGCAGTGGAACTGTAGATTTCGATGGTGAATATTCAGTGTTATTGTGATGTTGGTGACAAAATCTCCCCTCTGTGCTTATCTTTCTTTGTGTGGTTTTCACCACCCTTACCTTGGGCCCAGCATTTGACCCCGGCTTTTATATGATATATTTGGTGGCGTTTATTCATTTGTTCTATCTTACGTTAACTGGTGTATTCCTAATTTGTATTTGCCCCTTTATCTGTAAAACTTCTCAGTTGATATCTTGTATTACCGTACAACTAAAGATTGAAAATCCAAACGTAAAATAATACACCCACTATTTATCCTTCTATGATTCTTTTAAAATATTCTACAAAAATGCCTCTGCTATTTATCCATCATTTAATGTATTGTATGGACAGGTATAGATAGCGGAGGTATCGGAACTTTACAGTGGTCATTTTGCTATACTAGTTAAGCTGATACTATATATCTTATAGATATCTGATGTCAGTTAACTTATGGTGAAAACTCTATTTAAGTGCTTCTTATGAGGGTAAAAATTGGATAAAAATGTTTTATGGATTCACAATCAATAACATCTATGGGAATGAATAAATTGCAAAATTTTACCTTCGTAGTAGCACATCAATTCAATGTTCTTCCCAAGATTCCCCAGTTCCCTCGATGGGAGCATAATTCTAATTTTTACAGTTTGGTTCAATATGCCATTCCTCTATGATTTTCTCATTTTTAGTGGGTTCAAATGAAAATGTGGTAAAATCCTATATTTGAAATGGTTCCGCACCCACTTGCTTCAATGTTGGGAAGACCACTGAACCGAACTGTCTGATGTGTATTCCACCAACCTTTGTTCTATGCAGTGCGTATTACCACCACGATGCATGGCCATATTTCATGATTTATCTTTTCAGAATTCTATAAATTGATGACCTCAGAATGAGATGTACGAGCATGGATATGTACTAACTGAACCACCACCACAAGTACTTAAACCCTTTTATTCTTTTATCTCTGTCTGATCCTTTTGTCATTTTGTGTGTACCTGGGTTTATTTTAAATTACGAGGGTTTAATTTCGTTCACGTTTCTGAACTGTCTTAACATTTAAACAATACGATTGTACTTAGAAAATACATAGTAATAACAATAAATCACTCAAAAGTAGTCATTTGTGTACAATAATGAAATCACCTTTTACATAAGATGTATTTCCCTTTCAGAGTTCTCCCACCTGATGTTGAGCGCTTAGTTTACCCGTGAATACTTGCTAAATTCCTCCCTTGATGATGTTATGGGCTCCGACTTGTGGATCGACAACATTCAGACAAAACTCTGGAGGACTTTGAATCTCTTATACCTCTGATAGAAACATTTCTGAGAAATAAACATTTAAGACTTTGGTTAATTCAAAATATGTTTCAATATTTGAAAGTTAATAATCATAGTTAATTACACATATAAAATATTATCATATTCTATGTGTATCTACCCTCGACAATACAATATACAGGAAAGAATTTTGTGGATGCAATATTTAAATGTAAATTAATTTATCTGTACAGTCTTGAATTTTGTAATAAAATATATGTTGTTAACAAACCTACACGTGTTTAAGTATTATTACAGTACGCGATCAAAACAACAGACAATGTCGTAAAGGTTTGTATTTTATCGTTTAAAATCCATAAAAGTATTCATTAATAAAGTATGCATGAATGTATATCTGTGTATTAGTGTGGATTCAGATGTTAGGTTAATACTTAATATAAAAGTAACAAAAATTATGAATTCAATTTATTTTAGATGCTAGAGAGGCCTTTGATAAATTTGACAGACGTGGACAAGACAGGATTCCTATTCGTGAAATCGCCAACGCATTCAAGGCATTCGGTGTCAACATCAAGCATGATTGGCTCGACAAAGTGAGAGACGACATTGACAAAGAAGGTAAAGAATCATGAACTTTCTCTGTACAGTCCTCTGCCAGTGTTACTTTAGACACATATGTATTTTAAGCTAAAGTTTGGATAGTGCACCTTACTTTGATATCAACCGCATAACGTTGCCATAAAGAATTCCCTGGATTCTTTCCCGCGATATTCCTCGAGGGATGCCCAAATGCATACACACGTTTTTTCATGCTTCTCCTCGTACATTTTCCTATGTTCATTTCTAGGCAGTGGTTACATATCTGTTGATGAGTTCCTTCATCTGTATCGCCGCAAATTACAAGCAGATGAGGACGAACGTGAGTTGAGGGAGGCATTCAGAGTCTTAGACAAAAGGAACTGCGGACAGATCAATACTGAAGATCTACGATGGATTCTAAAAAGTCTTGGTGATGATTTAACACCCGAGGAAATAGAAGATATGATTAATGACACAGATACAGACGGAAGTGGAACTGTAGATTTTGAAGGTACGTTTGAATCCCCTGAATTGTACAGTTCATTTGTCGTGGTTCATAGACCGAATAAAGGAGCACATTTCAAGAATATTCTAGTACAATCTAGACATGGTGGTTGATTATTATCACAACTCACTTTAGATTGGGAGCCCTGGGGAACTTTGCAGAACAGCGATACATGAAAGCGATCACATTGATTTGAAATATGCTCACTATTAAGGACTATGATTGAACACCGATGTTGTTAGTTTGTTTGAAATGAAGTGCTTACATTCCAGCATGATTTATTGTGTTTGTTTATATAGGTAGTATTTAGTTTGTTTTTATCAAATATAATTTATTTATTTTAGTTCACTTTTGAACAATATCTGTACATAAAGGGCAAAGTACGACTAAAATTGAAACTAGCACTATAGTACACTGTACATCATATTTCAATTTCTTATTCAACATATTTTATCTTAAATTATTTATAACTTTTTCTCTGAATGGATATGTTTCCTATTCATTTCTAGACTCTCTGTCTTTATGATTGAAGGAAATGGCATTAACAATTTCTTTTTTTCAAAAGTAGACCATATTCATCATTTTTATCATTTTGCATTTCACGTGCATTTCATCAAATTTGCCCATATGATTTAATGACTAATAAAATTTAAAACTTATATTTACTGGTCGAAAGTTCAATATCAGAAACATAGACATTATCATCTTTTTTGCACGTTGTGTTGGTGGTATCACTCCGCTTTGTATTGAATCGTACACCTCCATCCAAAGTTCAGAAACCTTTTTTCCTCATTGATTTTAGATCACGTGAAATAAAAAGAGTATCAAATCGAATTTGAAAATCACTTTTCGTCTCCCATGTTATTTCAATAACGGACTTTTTTGAAAAATAAATTTGACTACACTTTTTTCCCTGTGATAAAACCTTTTTATTTTGCAAGTTTCTAAAATTCAGAAAGATATGAGGAAGAGAAAACGAAGTCAATTCATTTTATCATTACTGAAATTAGGCCACTTCACTAGCACTTATTTTTTATGGAGAATGCAAACACAAGTACCACTTAACAAGAAAAACTGTTTCCAAACTTTGGCGTGGAGTGTAAATGTAACAAAAGCACAGATGATGGATAGGTTTATAACAATACAAAACGTAGAACACAACCATAGAGCAATTCATTTTCATCCAAAAGAAATCATAATCATTTGAATAACAAAAAGGTGTTTGTTGTTGATTTTTGTTGTGCATTTTGAATTATTTTAGTTTGCTAGCTTGTTTTAAGACAACAAACACAATTATATGTATTTTACGAAGACGAATGGGGAGTGCTAAACACTAAAGAAGATGAACGTGAACATATACTACATAATGTTATACATACCACAAGGTAACTCATGACACTTTTGTCACATAAGGTGGCAAAGGGAATCTGCTTCTATTTGTCGTGTATCTATAATACTCTTAAAGTGCCAGAAATGTGAAATTGTATGTGAAGACTCTGAACAATGCTTTTGAAAACTAGATGAAGCATTTCGACTGTCTTCAGGAAAATGCAGATCAAGTGTATAAGAACTGTTTCTATGAAAAATTACATCGAGGAGTTCCTGAAAAACGTTCGTTTACACCTTTTGCATTTTCTGCACGATTGATATTTCTGTTGTTCTACTGAGAATATTAAGATGCATGCATGATGTGTGCTGTTTTATTTTTACAGAATTCTATAAGTTGATGAATTCGGATTGATGTGTCCATCCCGTGTGTTTCCTGGACCTATTCCCCATACTAATATATGGATTCTACGGGCGCCACCAGCCTGCAATTATTTGGACGATTTTGGTTGCCATGGCAATCTCCAGTTTATGTATTAACACAGATGGAGTTTTTACAGTTTTAACATGATTTACTTTGTATTTCAAGAATAATGAAGTTTATCAAAAAAATTTATAGATTAGGTATAGTTTTAAACACTTCACATCTAGTATGTTCATTTGCATGACATATCATGAGTTAGACCTAGATATAGCAAAATAAGTTTTACACACTGTAAAAGCTCCATTCGTTTGAACCTATTGTATAGATTTCTGTCCTTCGTTCGTTAATATTCTGCATTTTTGTACTATAAATTGCATGTTCACTAGCAATTCTTTAAACGTGCTCATTACTACGAGGTCCAATAGCTACTCAATAATTGCATTCCGAACGTTCACTTTCTTCTCAACCAAACTGGTTTTAACAACTGTCTTAGATATATCATGATCACATAAAGTAACAGTAACTCTAATTCACAAAGTTTGTTTGGGCTCTTCCCTTGAGTGTTATGGCCTCCACAACTCTGAAGGTGTCTCTGTTTATCTGTTACAGCCCTCCTTCAGCTTATTCTGTATTGATGGCCGGACGACTGGATGGAGCTTACCCTAGCGCATGTACGTGCAGCAACAGGCAGCAAACCGTCCTACTGTCACAGAAAATTTAGTATTATTGGACAATATCATAGGGAATCTCTCCGGCTCATCTCAAAACAATGTTTAAGACAAGAATATCTGTGTAGTGTGCTAAGCGTGATGTGGGGCCACCAGTTAATAGAGCGGCCCGTTGTTGCCGCGATGTCATAGACGACCTACCTGCAGTTGTTTCTCTATGTAGCCCTAGCACTAATCCTAACCGTCGACACACTTAAGACTTAACCCTACGTATTTCAACGGTTAGGGTTGGGTTTAGCCCTCTAGCTATGCGAGAGAAACCGGCTGACGTCACACTAGGAGCGTTCGCCGATGGCTAACCCCAACCCAAATGAAACGAAACACCTGGGGTTAAATTTGCCTTTAGTGACTAAAGACAATACTAGACAGTAGGCGGTTTCTGCTTATTGCATGACGCACATAGTACTATGTTGGCAATTAGGTTGATTTGGAAAAAGGTTATTCTGTGTGGCGCATTCGTTCAAATCTTTTTGTCACAGCTACGTTGTCTCTCTATCTAACGCACACGTTGTGGAGTGTTGTGAAGTTGTGAAGCCTCTATCCCTTATGTTTGTTTGGTGGGGAATTTAACTTCCCATTTAATAGTATATTTTCTGTCAAGGGTATAAAGGATTTTGCTATCGAACATATTGATACTTTGTAGCAATTTGCTTTCCTCCCTTGATGATTTTCCTAAATCTCTATTACTGATATTATATGTTTACCACCATTTCTTTGTAACCGAAAGACTTGCATGAAATGCGCTGCTAGGGTTGGTTCTTCACAGCCCACTAACAAGTTTTCGTTGAAAATCTAAAAATCTAACTCGTTTTGGAATTTGGATGTCCATTACAGTGTGAAGACGCCTTCAGGGAATTGCAGTGTAAAATCAATCAGTCACGTCACGTATTGACCTTTGACATCATGATATGCATTTATTGAAACCAGTCAATGATCATATCCATTCATTCACTATGCTAGTGTAGATCAGAATATCAAAATTGAATTTCTAGAGCCTAGCTTCGATATGTTATTTTTTCAGAGTTTTCAAAACTGATGCTCGCAGATTGATACATCATGTGATGTGTACGTCATACGTCATGTGATGTGTACGTCATACGTCATGTGATGCGTACGTCATACGTGACGCTAACTGTACAAAGACAATTTATATGAAGCATGTCTGACAGTCCAACTCTGGCATCACCCTTGACAAGTGTTTCTTTAGCAGACCATTGTATTTTGTTTTAACAACCTTCTTCCTTTATGACGTGTGTCCTTTGAACTATCCTTTAGGTGTTAATTTCTTACGTCAATATTTTATTTGGAGTGTGCATCCATTTATGTGTCTTCGATGTATCTTATAATAGGGAGATCGTTTGACGAGTGAATAACCACCTTGAAAGACATGGCAATTATGCTATATTTAACATCTCTTAGCCTTGTATCAAATCCTGTGTGGTGCGTCCACCCATCTCTATTTTTCAATTTGAACAATAGGGTTATCGTATAAGGAGAAATATA